GGGGTTGATGATCACTGAGTCTGTGAGACTCACCCCTTTCATTTCCTTTTCCAGATAAGTAATTAGCTCAAGTGCATTGCTCAGCACATCGAGACTTGCTGCAACATAGGTAATGGCATCTTTTAGCCTTGCATTTTGAGTTGTTCCGCTGCCTAGAGGTCATGTTGTGTCGGATAGTCAAGCTTATGATGAGTAATAGTTTGTGGAAATGTATTTGTCAAAACTTGAGGTTGTGTAATGATTACTGCTATTACATTGAGTATGTTATGGGTTATCAAACTTAATTATGGTATCAAATGTTCATGATTCAAATATTGTGCTTATTCGGTTTAAGCGAACTATGGAATTAAAAATTATGAGTTGGGTTTAAATTGTCTAGAAGTTTACGTAAGGCTTGTTTGGGATTTGGCGGGTTTACTCACAAGTTTCGGACGCCGGTAAAGATTGAGGGAAGAGGTCGTTACATAACACCCCAAAAGAAAGTAAATAATACTTGGTAAGATTTATATACATGATAGAAATAATGGGAGCCAATGACACTTTAAAGGCCAAGGGTCATGAAATTATGAAATCCAATAGATAAGATCTATGCATAAAGACTAACTTAATGGGATGCATAATTCATGAGATGAATCCATTAAATGCAAATGACTAGTAGGATGCATATTGATGCACTACTCATATAAGATGAGTCTATTAAATAATCCAACATGAATGATTGAAAAATAATCTCTATTCAATATAATAAATTGAAAATACTTGAATATATTGAATAAGATAAACATGTTTTGTGCACATCATAAAGTTAGTGGGAGTAAGATAAATTACACATTAAAAGTGTATAAGATACATTTACCAATCTAAGAAAAACAAAATGGGACTAAAAAGTGAGAGCCTAACAAAGGACTTAACAAAAGAATTTAAGATGACATGTTAAAACAGTTTAACATAGAGAGAATCCTAAATGTTAAAAGTGACATAAAGTCATGATTGAGCAATTACATTGGACTGATTCCAAAACAAGAGATAACTGCATGATTAAATCTATATTCAGATACAAAGCTTTTGATTAGGCTACAACAAAAAATATATTTGGATCATTAGTTTAATGAACCAATAAATGATTTTGAGTTGTTAAAGTAACAACAAGAGCCATAATAATGGAATCAAGGTCTCATTGTGATCTAAATTAGTATTTCAATTATGACAATGGAGATTGTCAAACATGCAAACTAACATATTCTTAAATATTACAATTTGAGTTATCCTAGTAGAGACACAATCACTAAGCGAAAAAGTTCGATACTGGATACATTAGCAATTGACTCAAGTGCAAGTAGAAGATACTTAGTATATGTCCTTAAGCCCATTGGATTGATCAAGCAATATATATTGTCATTTAATGCATATATAATCGCATAACTATATGCAATAGAGGTTTTCCTTCATGTTAGTGCAATAATAAGGAGTTATTAAGTACTAGTTGGATAAAGCCCATGGAACATAAAGGCATTGCAAGAGAATTGTAAAGTTGTTACAATTATGAGACCACTATGCATTAATGCCATATTCCTAAAATTGTTCCTAGTCATTGTATTGTTAAGACAGGGCATTGACAATGCTTAAAGATAAGTACATGTTAAGCTTCCTTACTTGGGATGTAAGCAATCGATCTCATAGATTAAAGTATATGAAATGCTTAAGGATAATATGTAGGTGCTTGTTAAAGAACAAGTTCACTAAATATGACATGACCCACTATGAGAACTCCATTTGGTATTTCACTCAAATGTTTAAGGAATATATTCTCATGTGATAGTCGTACAATTAGTCCTTGAACTTGAGACACTAGGTCATCTTGTATGGGGAATGGCATACTTTCATTTCACCTCTACGGGTTTGGAGGCAACCAGATGCCTAAATAAGGTGTTTTTGGGTATGCCATGAAGCATGCGAAGGTGAATGAATGGTCAAGAGAGGATTCATCACCCCATGTGATATGAGGAGATGTATCTCATTTGTTCTCAATTCTTAATTAACTTGTATAAAGTTTTTGGCCAAAGCATGATGAATTTGAAGAAAGTTAGTTTCCTAAATTCATAAGGTTAGTCATGAATTATGAGAACTGATATGGAATGTTATAAGTAGACACTGAGCCATGCCTTATAACAGATCCAAAATATTTGATAAAAGGACCATATTGCACTAAAAGGCTTATCACTGAAGGGCTTTGTCAAATTCTTTAGTTGCCTCTTTAACATTTGGGTAGTCATGATGTACTACTAGATAACGCCCACGATCTAGAAATATAAATTAATTATCAAATTGATATTTGATAAAGATTTATATTTATTGCCAACATGTTAGAAGCCTAATGGATCACACACATTAAGTGACATGATTGGGATTAAAAAAAGATAATTAATTAAGTTGGACTTAATTATAATAGACCAAAATAAAGTGAAAAATTAATTAAGTTCATAGAGACTTAATTAAATTAAAATATAACTGTTGTATTTAGGGTTACAACTTAGTTTGGCTATATAAATATATTATATTAGTAAACAAAAACTTTAAGCCTCCAGCTACTTCTTAACTATTTCATAAATAAGAAAAGAAAAATAGTTTTCTTTGTTTGACAAAAATAAGATTCAACAAGAATTTTAGTCTTTTTGTTTTAAAAACAAAACTTGCTAGCACAAGTAAAAATCCTACCTTTGAGAAGGTCTTATTCGATCACTGTGTGGATTACTATTAGAGGTCAAATACTTAAGTTGCTGAAAATTTAACAAATCCTAAAGATGAAGAAGCAAAGATTTTGATTTAATTGGTTCTTGATTATGATATCTAGAACAAGGTACGTAACTTTTAAACTTATGAGTGTTCATAATTAATTTGAAAGTTACATGAACAACACAAACTTTGATCTTACAGGATTCAACTATTTTTCTGATTAAATGCTAGTTTATTTTTTCTTTACGTTATATTTTTAATTTTTTGATTATTCTCATGTTTGAGCATGAGGTGGAATCCTAGCAATAAATGCCCTGTAATGTCCTAATTCCTTTTTACAGGCAGATTAGTGTCCCAGTTCACTCTATTAATTAATTGTGAGAGTTGTGTGTCATTCAATCTTTTGTGTCCCATTTCCATCTTCCATTCTCATAGAAAGCTACATTTTTTGCAAATTCTCACTTTACCAGTTTTAAATATACATTATATAGGTGTTGTAACCCAAGAAAATTCTAATTTTTGCCTTATGATCAAGTTTGTCCCTTTTAACTTCTAGAATGCACACATAACATATAAAACCAAAGACTATCAAATGACCAATTAAAGTCTTAAAGACATTTCAAGCTTCAAATGGAGCTTTGCCTACCAAGGCTTTAGTAGGTAATAAGTTCAATAGATAGGCTACAATGTTAACTACTTCTGCTCAGAACCTTTTAGGCAATTCCTTGTCAAATAATAGACTTTTGGCCATTTCTAAGGTAACATTGTTCTTTCTCTTACTCACTCCATTTTGTTAAAGGTGAGTATGGAATTACTTGATGCTTAATGCTAACACTGTAACAAAACCTTTCTAAACTCATGTAAAGTATATTATGAGTCATTATTTAACCTTAGACTCTTAACTAGTCAACATGACTCATTCTTGACCATAGCTTTGAACTTTTGAAAGGCTTTAAACACATCTTATTTATGCTTTAAAACTTAAACCTACACAATCCTAGCAAAATCATCAATAAATAGCAAAAAGTATATGTTGTCATTGAGTGATTCAATACTCATAAGTCCACAAACATTAGTAAGGACCAATTTCAACTTTTCTTTAACTTTTGACCAATTGCTTAGAGGGATTGGCATCCTAGCTTGCTTTCCTAATTGACACACACTACACACAACATTGTTTCACATATTTCATACATGTTTTTCACTAATTTACTAGAACTCATGAGCATAAATGAGTTATAATTGCAATGGCCTAGTCTTTTGTGCCGCATGACTCACTCATGGTAGTTGAGTGTGCATGCATATTCAATTAGTTTAATTTTAGGAGAAAGTGTTGTTATTCACACTTGCGGTCATTAACATGGATCCTGATGACTCAAATATGATATAAGATCAATCTCTAAACAGCAAGGCATAATTCTTTTCTATCAATTGTCCTACATTGAGTAAATTTTGACTTATTTCAAGCACTAGCATGACACCAATATGATTCCTCTTGAAATATGAATACCACAATGCCTTTTCCCTTAGTTTACAAGAAGTCTCCATTCCAAATCTTAACTCTAGAACTACATGGGGAATCCATATTGATAAAAAGCATTTCATTCGGGGTTATGTGGTTGGTGCAACCATTATCAATTAACTAAATTTCATTTCCATGGTCTATTGTCAAAGCCATGAATATTTGCTCATCTAGAGTCTTAAACTTTTTTATTATTGGAGCATGCTTGCTTTAAAGGTATGTTTTACTCTTACAAACCTTCTCTATGTCTAAGTTAACTGCATGCCCTATATCTTAATCCTGGTCTAAACCAATAATAGTTCTTTACATGGTTTTTCTTTTTGTAGTTGGGGCATGGAAGATATTTTCCCTTTCTACCTTGTACCTTGTAATTGTTAATGTTCTTCTTTTTTCTATCTTTGTGTCACCATAAACCTTCTACACAATGTAACGATCGCTCTTTGATCGCTACCGATGTCCAAGTCCTGCAAGAAAACCTGCCAAGTCCCAATCAAGCCTTAATTAAAACTTTTGTTAATACGTTATATTCATTCCACCAATTTATAATTGCTTTGAACCATATAACTCTTTGGAATATGATTTGAACAAAAGGTGTAATAAATCGACTTAACCTTTATTCTACATAATTGTAAAAATACATCAAGGTTTATAATTCTCAAATTATACACTTTCACATTTAGACCAATGACTATTTACAAACAAATACACTATAATCGACTCAACCTTCAGCAGCGGAGCGACTCAGAATAAAGTGTTGTGTGATGTCTTTACCTATCCGTGGTGGACAATATGTGCCAATGAATGCACACTAGGTCGATCACTTATCTACAAAAGGGAAGATAAGGGGGTGAGTCTCATATACTCAATGATCATCAGCTCTGTGAGCAGGGCGTAGATAGGAAACAAGCTTGAAGCTAAACTTTTTGAATAATAAAACCAGAGTATAAAATGATAACCTTATAAAACCAAATAACAAATAATATATTTGTGCCTTGTAAAAATAATTCTGCAAAAATCGGAGTGCAATACTTTCCTTGGAAAACAATGCCGAAATCAAAGCATAGTACAATAGATTTCAATCGTAGAAATCATTTATTCCCATCATAAATACAAATGGCCATATAAAAGCATGCACACTCCCAAACCGTGTGCATCCACATACATCCACATACATCAATTCATAATCAACATATAAAGCACTAAAAGCTATAAATTAAAGAGGGATGCTATGGAAAAACAATATCTCTCCACCAAGCGAAAACGTAAGAGTCTAAAAACTCTAAAGACTCTCGAGTAGGTAATCGTTGATAATCAACCTGTGGATCCTCTTCCACGTAATAAAATCAAAGAGGCCCCCTCCATCTGATTCCCATAGCCATGGTAATCTCGACGATGATGGTTGATATCGGAGAAATCATGTGGTTGCAACTACGTATATCAACTCATGGCCTAGCCATATATAACAATCCGTGGCCTTGCCACGTATAATCACAAACCATGGCCTAGTCACGTCTAACAGCCTATCAGTGACTCAAAAGGTTCTATAGCTAGAGCTCACTTGTGTACAAGGGTCACATTATCCCAATGTGACATTCGGCCTACTCTTAATGCTCTCAGTTTGTCAAAACCATTTTCAAACCAAATCAAGGTTTTCAAGAGTTTTCTTTAAATCATTGGAAAACAAGGTTCAGCAACCTTTCAAAATTGTTTTTCCCATTAAAATGCATGGTGTAAACATTTGCATAAAGTTCAAACTAAAACTAGCTCACAAGAATGTAATAACTCTCTTTTCGATCGTTGCCGGTGTCTGAAACATTCGGGAGAACCCACCAAGTCCCGAACAAGCCTTATTAGAAACTCTTGTTACTTCATTATATTTGTTCCACCATTCTATGTAATTGCTTTGAGTTGTATAACTCATTAAGATATGATTTGGAACAATAGTAATAATAGATTGACTTAACCTCTAATCCAAATAATTGTAAACAAATACATCATAGTCTAAAATCTCTAATTGTACATTTATATTGAGACCAGTGTCCATTTACAAAAAATAAAATAAAATACATCACAATGACTCGACCTCTAGTAGTGGAGCAACTCAGGATAAATGCTATGAGATGCCTTTACCTATCCGCAATTGATAATAAGTGTCGATGAATGCATGCCAAGCCTATCACTATCTATAATAGGGAGATAAAAGGGTGAATCTTACAAACTCATGGATCATCGGCTCTGTGAGGAGGGCATAGAAGGGAAACAAGCCAAAGATAGGAAATTTGAATGTTAAAAACACATGAATGATTATATAAACAAATTCAAACTCAAATGGTACATTTGTGCCTTACATATAAACCTGAGAATTCTGATGTAAAATAACTATTTCAAGTAATATAGTAAAGCCACTGCAAGCGAAAGATTTCTACTGTCGAAATCATTTGTTGTCTTTTACTTAAAATCGAACTAACATAACACGCACGTTCCTATGAAATCAAGCATCATCAAAGCTTATATGCAAGCTCATGAACCATCTCATCCTTGAGGTAATAACATAAAATCATCGTATAAATAAGGGAGCTACAGAAAAGCTTGTATTTCTCACCATGCGAAAGAATACATGTTTGAAAACCCAAAGAGGTATCACTCTCGAGTAGGTAATCGTAAATAATCAACTCGTGGACCAGCTTCCACGTAATAACAATCCGGGAGCCCTATTCCACTTGATTCCCACAGCCATAGCAGTCTCGATGATGTTGGCCGACATTGAAGAAATCATGTGGTCGTAACCACATATATCAACTTATGGCCTAGCCACATATATCAACTCATGGCCTTGCCATGTATATATCACAGAACGTGGCCCCAGCCATGTCTAACAGCCCTTCGATGACCCAAAGGTTCTCTAGCTAGAGCTTACTTATGCACAAGGGTCACACTTTTCTGATGTAACATTCAGCCTATTCTCGAATCTCCAAATTTGATAAAACCATTTAAAAGCAAATTGGGTTTTCAAAAGCTTATTTCAAATCCATTTCCAAAATACCATTCATGGTAATATGATAAAACCCATTTGTAAGACTTTATAATGTAAAACCTTTGCATGAAGTTTAAATAGCAAATCAACATGGTGAATATATGTAATTTGTACATGAATGCACATCACACAAATCAATAAGGTACACTTTGACATAAATCATGGTAAAGAGCTTGTTTCTTGATTTCTAAAACCCTTTACATATATTGCTTTTATATATATATATATATATATCCAAAGAAATTTCAAAAGTCATGGCATCCACAATTGCCTAGCATTTCTACCAGCTCATGCTTTCCATAATAATAGTGCATAAATCTTTTACAAATAAGTATTTAAAACCACCTATCGTTTCTAGCAACTCATGCTTTCCACAAATGCATTTAAAGAAAACTAGCAATAGTTACTATACGTATATCATTATATAGTTATGAAAATTTTGAAATAGGCACCCCTTATCACCTTATAATAGCAGGACATCGCTATTGATTCGAGTGCGTCTCTAACTAGTTTTACTTGCCAGTTGCCTATTACCTCTTCCGGCACACCACCACCGCAAACTTTCCTTACTCTTATACTTCCAAGCAATAATTCAAACCCAATACGCTTAATTGTACTCATATACAGGCAGCACATCAATCAAAAAATCCTTAACCTAATTTCATAGTTTCCATCAACATTATTCACAATCATTTAACATACAATCCACATACTTTCAACCAATCAAAGCCAACACAACACAATGTAGTCACATTGCATGATTACCTCTTAGTTTTAGCTTGAATTTCAATATAGTTCACAATTTCCTCACATCCTCGGTCACCATCACTGGCTCAAGCATAGACAATTAATGCACATCTCATTCTCTTTTCTACCTATGATTCCAAGACTAAAATACTTACCCATTGCCTATCTAGCTCAAAATCACCATGAATTCCAAGATCCACCAACATGCATGCATTCGATTCTTGAATCCTTGAAGATTCTTGCTACCACAAGCAAAATCCCACATTACAATCAATTTACAAAGCATGCATTCAAACAAAATGACAATCTTTTTACCTTCTTTACCTTTGATTCACTAGCCGTACTACCAATGTCTTCTTTAAGCTCCAAAAATGGTATGTGGAAGGAAAACCTCTCAGTTTTTCTCTAGTTCCTCGAAAATCAAACCTCCCTTTCTCTTTTCTTCTTTCTCCTTTCTTCCTTTCTCTCTTTACTTTCAAAGTCGATTCCCTCTCTTTGTCTTTCCAAATGTGCGAGTTTTCTGAAGGCAAAGTCATTTTGTTTGCTATTTCTTTGGTGTGGGTGGATATAACAAGAAATGAACTTGAAATGGCCTTATAAACTTCTAATAACCTTTTTATTTCTTTCATGGGCAAATTACCCAAGAAAATGGCAACATTCCCTTTCATTTCATCCCAATTCACATTTCATTTCACCTCTTTTAATTTCCACTTGTCATTCCCTCATTCGGCCACTTTATCACCCAATATTGTTTCATGCACATTTCCTTTACCAATAACCTTTGCGATCCCATGAACCAATAAGGCTTCATGCATTTTTCTACTCTTGAATCCTATTTGACCTCCCTCAAAACCAATAGGATTTCATGCAGCTAAATTATTATTTCTTTTTCTTATCAAATCACATTACCAATCTTACTTTGTTTACCATGGGCTATCTTTGCCAAACCATGGTTTTTGTGCATTTAAATACTCTTTGTTCGTTTTCTCTTTATCAACTTTCACCTAGTGGGGTCCCACATATTTTTCACTACCTTTCTCCTTTTTACATGCAATAATTTGCATGTAATAGTAACTTAACATGCAAATTCCATCAAGCTAAGTAATCTCACTTGCATTTCACTTGCATCCTACTTGAATTTCATCTTACTTTCCTTAATACCAATATATACATCAAATATTCTCTTGACTCTTCATTATTTACAATTCCACCCCTTAACTTCTTATTCTTTTTAATCGAGTCCTCCCATCATTCCTTTATTTCAATTCCCTTCTACTTTTCTTCCTTTACACTTGTACAAATAAAATGTCAAATTCATACTCCACTAAGATGTCACAATAATATTTACATATATACTTACTATCCTTTCCTTAATTTAATGAAGGCATGTGGGCCCCACTAAAGCTTCCTTTCTTCAAAATATTTTCTTACTTCCACTCCCTACTTAGACAAATTGTACAAATAACACTTTCTTCATGTAATATATCCAAGTTGACATCGGTATTATTTTATCCAAAAATTATTATTTTATTCCAAAATTTTCCTCTAGCCTTTTGGAGCTCCAAAATACCATACTTTGCCTCGATTTAGCTCTATAGCACCTTTTTAACTCCACAACTTTGACCTCAATAAGATATTCTTATTTTATTATTTTATCATATAGAGAATATTTTATTTTAAAATATTCCCTTCACCTCTCAACACTCTTAAACACTTTAATTAATCTCAATTGGTATGCAATAAGCTCTATTAGCCACCATATCAAAGTACGAGGTGTTACAAAGAATTTGCATCTAAGTCATTTATCAAGTGCAATTAACTATGCACATCACATAAAGATATAAGGCACTATTTTGATGCAAGTCATTGCAAAAAGGCTTGTTTCTCAGTTTCTTAAACACTTTACATATATCATATATATATATATATATATATATATATATACAGTATACACAAAATACCTTCAAACTCAATTTGCATTGACAAATGCCTACTGTTTCTACTAACCCATGCTTTTCACAAAAGCAGTGTATAAATAATTCCA